TGTAGGTTCCCGCTGGCGGGCGTGGGGAGGAAGTAACCAGCGGGTGGGTGGGCGCTGGCCAGCAAGAGCACCATCCGCGCCGGTCCTCTCTGGCCGCCGCCTTCTTCGTCTCTGCGCCACCTTTTCGGGACCCCTTCAACGGCTTCGACGCCATGCCGCTCGCCTCCACCGTTGCAGGGCGGGGAGCGGCGGCAGGAGAAGCAACGGCGCGAGAGCGGGGCCGCACACGCCTCCTCTCTCTTTCTCCTTCTTCTTGCAGTGCTTCTTAGGTGCCTTGGATTGGGTGTAGGAAAAGGCGGAGAGGGGGGCCGTAAGACACGAAACCGAAAAGGAAAAGCAAACACGAAAAGAACTATTTAAAGGAAGGAAGTCAGGCATACATTCGGTGGAAAAATGGAATATCGCCCGTCACATCGGGTGTGCGCCGGCATGATGCGGGCCACAGCCACTCTTCTCTTTCTGCTCACGATTGCCGTCGTCGCGAGTGCCGCGCCCGTCAAGTGGGCGGAGCCGCTGGTGCAGAAGCCGTCACGCCGGCGGTTGCTGCCGGAGGACGCGGTGGCGCTGGAGGGCGCGCCGGTTGGCGCGGCTGGCAACGCCTCCAACACGTGCCGCGCCGGTGTGAATTTGGAGTGGACGACACGGGTGGGCAGCAGCGTGTTCGCCACCCCCCGCATCGTCGACTTGAGCCACGACGGCAACAAGGAGATCCTGGTGCCGACGTACACGCAGTACCTGGAGGCCATTGACGGCGTCAACGGCGAGGACGAGCTCGGCTTCCCCTTCGTGCACCCCAACTTCAAGTCCTACGCCAGCCCCATCCCTGTCGACATGGACGGCGACGGCAGGACGGAGTGGCTCGTCGCCATGTACACCGGCGAGCTGATGGTGTTTGGCGAGGATGGAAAGGCGCGCGGGGCGGTGCAGGTGCCCTCTCTGCCCATCAAAAAGAACTGGGCGCAGAAGAACCTCACCGGGGCGGAGGCGGTGAGCTTTAAGGTGAAGCCGGTGCGGCGGTCCGAGGAGGACCTCAACCGCATCATGCGCGCCCGGCGGATGGTGTACATGACGCCGCGGTCGCCCCACACGCGCCACAACACCAGCGACGGCCCCCGTGCCACTGCCGCCGCCGACGCCGCCGCGGTTGGGGCGTCGCGGCCACCTGCCGCCCCGCTGCGCCGCCATCTCGCAGAGGCGGCGGCGGCGGCAGCGGCGCCCGACGACGACGGCGACGCCGCCAACAAGCCTGAGGTTGAAATTGACGACCTGGACGACTTCTTCGACGACGGCGACGACGACGACGGTGCGGCGGTGGAGAAGCAGCAGGGCATCGGGGCGGAGGGGTGGCTGAGCCCGGAGGCCAAGGCGTCGATGGAGATGCTGTACCACCCGGAGCTGTACAAGAGCAGCGTGAACTACGAGGGCGAGCACGACGCCTTCAACTTCCGCAACATGCGCAACCCGACGACGGTGGTGGTGGGCGAGGACGAGGTGGCGGTGGACCCGCACATCATGTCCACCCCGGTCATTGTGGACGTCGATGGCAACGGCGAGCTCGACATTGTGCTGCACCTCAGCTACTTCTTCGACAGGAAGGCGTACGAGGGCGAGAAGGCGGAGCTGCTCCCGCCCGACATCGACGTCGACGACTACGTGGCGGACGTGCTCATGGTGCTGAACCTCGTGACGGGGGAGGTGCGGTGGCTGCAGGTGCTGCACCTCACGCGGAAGAACGACACCACCCCGGCCTACGCGCTCTCGTCGCCCGTGGTTGCCAACCCCGATGAGGACAACCAGCAGGACATTTACGTCACGACGACGGCCGGGGCCATTTTTGGCTTCAACGGCCGCGGCAAACAGCTTCCTGGCTGGCCGGTGTGGATGAGCAGCCCGATAGCATCCTCGGCCTCGATGGAGGACGTCACCGCGGACGGCGTGCTCGACGTGTGTGCCGGTGACACCGGCGGCAACGTGGCGTGCTTCTCCGCGAAGGGAAAGCAGCTGTGGAGCAAAAATTTTTCCGGCGCCGTCGGTGAGCACATCACCTACGGCGACGTGGACGGGGATGGGGCCATTGACCTGGCGTTTGGCACCACCGCCGGATTGCTCTACGCGGTGCGGGGACGCGACGGCGTACCGCTGCCGCACTTTCCAGTCGCGACGGAGGGGCCTATTCTCGCCCCGCCGCTGCCTGTAAACCTAAACAACACGCTACCCTCGCAGCAGCGTGGCCCGGAGGGGCTGCACCTTGTCGTCCCCTCCCACGACGGGGTGCTGTACATCGTGAGCGGCACCACGGGCTGCGTGGACGGCATTGACATCAACGAGAAGTCCTCCACCATGGTGCTCGCCGACGACCTGACCGGTAACGGCAAGCTAGACCTCGTCGTGAGCACGCTGAGCGGGAGCGTCATGGTGTTCGAGACACCGGCCACCTTTCACCCCCTCAAGGCGTGGACCAGCCGCGTGAAGTCCACCAACGGCTTCACGGCCTCCGAGGGGTACGTCGGGGTCTTCATTCACCCCAGCAGCCGCGTGTCGCGCGACATCCGCGGGGACCACTTTGTGGTTCTGGTGACCATCTACGACAAGCGCCGCGTGGACGCGGCGCGGCGGCGCTACGGCCTCACCATCACGATTGGCCCACGGGTGCTGGTGCACCAGCACGTGTACGGCGCCCCCGGGACCTACTCCATCCCGCTCCGCGCCCCGCTGGAGCGGATGTACGCCTCCCTCGCCGTGGTGATGACGCTGCCGAATGGGCAGAGTTACGAGGACAGCCTCGCCCTGAGCTTCAACATGCACTTCCTGGAAAGCATTAAGTTTGCGTTTCTGATCCCATTCCTGCTGGCGTGCCTCGCCATCTCTTTTGTTAGCAAACGGCACGAGGTGGAGCCGCCCCCGTTCGAGGCGCATTACTACTAACGCTGGGGGTCGCAGGGAGGGAGGGCTGCAGCGCCACGAAACCAATGAAGGAACTGAAAAAAAAAAGTGGGAAAAAAAACCAGCATCATCGGCATCCGTGGAGACGCATGCTCTGTTTTATTCCGCTTGTGTCTTTGCCCACCGCCTCCCACCAAGGCAGCGCGCTCGTACGAGGCTGCGGGCAGAGTAACGCGACGGCTTTTGCGTTTTTCTTTTTGTCTGTGCCGTTGCGTGCTCGTGTGCGTATTTATTACAGTAGAAAACAAACAGTAGGAGGGAAGTGAAGCCCTCTCGCTGCCTCTCCCCGTGCCTCTGTTTTTTTTTTTTTTTCTCGCTGTGGGGAGAGTGACGCCCACTGGCGCTGCCCCAGCCGTGCCGCACCTGTTTTGCTCTCTCGCCCCCTGCTGTTTCGCTGTCGGCGCGGAAGGTTTCAGCGCCGCGTAGCTAGAGACACCGCCGGATGTGGCGCCTCTCCCGCGCCGCTCGACAGCTGCAGAAGCAGACGTACGTGGACTCCATCGGCTATTCCGCCGCCTTCGCGCCGGCGTCGGAGCGGCCCGTCAGCACGTACCAAGTGGCCACCGCGTTGTACTCCCCTGCCGCCACGCAACTGCGACGTCGGAAGGGCCACGTCGAGCGTCAGAAGCAGTACACCGCGAAGATGCGTCTCATCTCGCACACCAGCCGATGGCAGCTCGGCATGCATGATGAAAAATGAGGGGCGGGGCGTGCGCACACCGCGGGGGAGGGAGGAAGGCATCATTGGGGTTGGACACTCTGGCGCTGCATGAGGAAGTATGACACATCAAACTTATTTCCCTCCCTGCTTGTTTTTGTGCTTGCTTCCGTTTTTTTTTTTTTGCGGCAGCTGCCGCCGCGCTGCTGCTGTGCAGTGGGAAGAAGAGACGGCGGTCACGATGCGTCGGCAGCTGCGGAGGTTTCTGTGCCGCCACGTCGCAGCCTTCAGCGGGCGGGCGGGCGGGCGGGAGGTGCTTCGGGCACGGAGTTGCCGCTCTGGGCGTCTCCATGTTTGTAGGCGTGGATTTCTGCGTTTGTGTGCTGCCCCGTGCGGCTTTTCTCTGCCTCTTCTCGACCCCGCAGCAGCAGCAGCTGCCGCGGCGAACGCGGAGCTCCAGTAGGTAGTCATTTCCCGTCCACTAGGCCGGGCAGCGTGCGAGGAGGCATCCGCGTGGTAGCAGACGCGTTGGGAGGGGAGGCGATGACGAGAGCCGGCACCCGGCGCATCCTCGCGTTGGGGATTGAGGGAAGTGCAAACAAAATTGGGGTGGGGGTCGTGGATGCGGCGGGAAACGTGCTCTCGAACGAGCGCGCGACGTACATCACCCCCGCCGGGACGGGCTTTCTGCCGCGCGAGACGGCGCAGCACCACACGACGCACATTCTGCGTCTGGTGCAGGCCGCCCTGGCCGCCGCGCAGGTGCGCCCCGCCGACATCAGCGTCATCTGCTACACGAAGGGGCCAGGCATGGGGGCGCCGCTCGCAGTGGGCTGCACCGTCGCCAAAACCCTTTCGCTGCTGTGGTCTGTGCCGCTGGTTGGCGTGAACCACTGCATCGGGCACATTGAAATGGGGCGCGTCGTCACGGGGAGCAGGAATCCGGTGGTGTTGTACGTGAGCGGCGGCAACACGCAGGTGATTGCCTACGCGGAACACCGCTACCGCATCTTTGGGGAGACCATTGACATTGCGGTGGGGAACTGCCTGGACCGCGCCGCGCGGCTGCTCGGGCTCTCCAACGATCCCGCGCCCGGGTACAACATCGAGCAGTGCGCCAAGCGCGGACGCTGCTTCATTGAGCTTCCCTACGTTGTGAAGGGGATGGACATGTCATTCAGCGGTCTCCTCTCCTTCGTGGAGGCGCTGCTGCAGCATCCGCAGTTCACGGACAAGGAGAAGTGCCCACCAACCGCGACCTCCGCTGCGGCCGCGTCGTCGTCGTCCACGCAGCGACGGGCACTGCCAAACGGGGTCCAGAATGCCGTGGACGAGCCGTTTGGCATCGATGACATCTGCTACTCGCTGCAGGAAACGATGTTTGCCGTGCTGGCGGAGGTGACTGAGCGAGCCATGGCGCAGTGCGACTCCAACGAGGTGCTCATCGTCGGCGGCGTCGGATGTAATCTGCGGCTGCAGAAAATGATGCGGGAGATGGCGCAGTCGCGTGGGGGAAAGTGCTACGACATGGACGCCCGCTACTGCATCGACAACGGCTGCATGATTGCCTACGCAGGGCTGCTGGAGTACGCGGCCGGCGGCTTCACACCGCTGCCAAACGCAACCGTCACACAGCGGTTCCGCACCGACGACGTGCACGTCTCGTGGCGCTCATAAGAGCGCAACAGCACGCCACCCAGGGGGCCCCGCGGCGTACAACCAGAAAGGAAATAAAAAACAACAACGGAAAAATAGGCAGGCGCATGCTCGACTTCCTGTACGTCAGCGAAAAACGAGGAATAGGCCGGAAAACTTGTATTTGCCACGCTTCCTCAAGCATGGGCACAACACCCTACTCACTGCAACGGAGAGGGAGGAGTGGGAGGGAGGCAAACTGAAGCGGAGGCTTCCTCGGCCGCCCCTGCCAATGTTGTGCCCCTGCGGCTGCGTGCGGTCTCGCGCGGGCAGTCCCCGGTGCGCTGCGCCCGCCGCAGCTCGTGTGTCACCTCTTTCTTCCCCCGCCTTCTCTGCAACCACTCCCCCTGTCAAGAGGCAGTCCTGCCGCCGCCGCTGTTTTGCGCATCGTGGCAAGACGTTGCGAAACACGCTCAAAAGGCACACTGGCAAGCGCCAGCCGCGGCGGAATAGGCACTTGTCAGGGACAATAGGATGTTGCGGCCGGTGGCTTTTGCGCGGCTTCTCCTTTTCGGCGCCCCGCGCCAGCGAGGCCCGCGGCGACCATGAAGAGAAACGGGCTTCGCCCCCTGCCGCGGGGTGCTGCAAGGGACGGGGG